GGCCCCCAGCACCGCGTCTGTCCTTCTTTTAAATCCCCCCCCAGGGGTGGGGACTCGACCCCTTCCCTGGGCAGCCCCTTCCAGTGCCTGAAAACCCTCTCCATGAAGAAATTGTTCCCAATGTCCAACCTCACCCTGCCCTGGCACAACTTGAGGCCGGTGCCCCTCGTCCCATCGCCCCTTCCCTGGGAGCAGAGCCCGACCCCCCCGGCTCCCCCCTCCTCTCAGGCAGTTGTAGGGAGCGATGAGGGCTCCCCTCAGCCTCCTCTGCTCCAGGCTGAACCCCCCCAGTTGTAACGACACGGTGGGGACGTTTTGTTCTGGCCCCTCTGGTTTCAGCCCTCCTTCCACCATCCTGACGACAGAAATGAGTTTCTCATTAAACTCTGTGGGTCTGGGACACAGCTGTACTGAGCACAGAAACAAGATTTAAAAGCCAGGATACTGCAAAAAAAAAAAAAAATTAATAGTATAGCATTCACTTCAGCAAAGGCCAAATGTGTTAATCTGTTGTATGTGCGTTACTTACTACCCTCTGTAGACCACTTATTTTAAATCGTGGGTGGTTTTATGCATATCAGCTTTTATTGTCGTGGCAGTTCAGAGGCTCTGGACATGCAGCTTCCATTCATTGCAATGGGATTTCAAAAATCTCAGCAGTGGCTTCCACTGTACGAGCACATACACTGTGTCATTATTCTTACATTGCCAGGCAGCCTAAGCGAATTTTAATGGCTCTGGTGGACCACAGTCTTTGTCACGCCTTTGAAATTCCTCGTGTTTATATTCCTGATGGGGGGACAAAAAGTCTGGCACATGCTATTTCATTATTATTTTTTAGTATTATGATATTTTCATATGATTATCTGGGTACCAACCGAGAGCGGGGCCTCCTAGGACGATGCAGAACAGTTTCAGCGTGGAGGGCTTCCCTCGGCCAGGTCGGGACACAGCAGATGGCAGGGGTGAGAACTGTGCCCTGGAGCAGAGGTAACAGGAGAGCTAACTACAAGCATTCTGTTAGTTCCAATTATTTTTTAATTTTTAAGTGGATATTCCCGTTGGTCCTCAAGAGGAAACGAGTCTCCAACATGAGATAATTATCTCTGGATAAATCTGGGAAAGGGGACAGACAAAGACACCTGGACATAACAAACGTTTGATTAGATACAGCCTCTCATAACCCTTTTAAATTGATGTGATTTAAACCGACAATGACAAGCAGTCAGAAGTGACTGTTCCCATGGGGGAAGGGCAGAGAAGAGGTGATAAAACAGCTCAAAACAGCCACCACAACGAACTGCTCCCCCTCTCTGTTTTCCTCACCTATTCCTTCTCCCCTGGGGTTGTTCTGCAACGTGCATTTGGCGTTCTGGAGACAGAGTCTGTTCTCTGTGGTGCGCTGGTAACGAGACGTTCAGGCACATCCCTGTGATTCACAAAGACGCTGCTGTTTGTAGGCATTTATTTAATTCTCCATCGGATGCTGGAGGGACGGATTCCCACCCATCTCAATGTCTGTGTGCTGATAAACCCTTCGACACCACGCCTGGCAGATTTACTGCTCCTCTCCCTTTGGGTTTGGCCCTTACTGGCGGGGCTGTGTCAGATTTAGGTCATGCTCCTGCAGCTCTATCAGTTGGTCTAATGGAAGGTTTTGTCTCTCCCTTAGCCCTTATTCCCGTGGAAGATCTCAGCTGCTCCTGCTACTACCTCTGTTTTAAACTCTGTATGTTGTGCACTGCCATGCCTCGGGGTATAAATAGCAATCATCAGCCTTCAGCCTCGCCTCACCTCAGCGACTCTCGAGTACGGAACTCACATTGTCGACGTTCACGTGTCAGCCCAGCCAAGAGGACTCGGCCGTTTTGCCGTGACGTTGCTTTGCTTCTGCTTGCAGTAAGATCCAAAGGAAGGAATCCTGTGCGGAGCAGCCTTCGGAAATCTTGGCAATTAATCTGAGTGCTCTGCAGGCAGAATAGGTCCTGGGAAAGCATTTAGGTTAGTAAAAGAAGCAGATAAGACCGCCTTCTGAGCTGTAATATTAAAAAAATAACTGGAGAATTGTAATTTGTAATTGTAATATTAAAAAAAATTATATAAAGGATATAAACTCCCAGGCTTGGGGTCATAAACCAACCTCTAGGTTTTGGGGCTTAGAAGAAAACTCTTGCTCGGGAAAACTCTTGCTCCCATATCTACTGAGTTCACATTTTCTTCCCCCGGGACAGGGCTCACCACGTATTTGTCCCAGCTATGAAGCGCAGATTACATATTTTATTTTAATTCCACCCAAAATTAATTTTCCTCTGAACCTCTATATCGCTGTATCAGCTTTGGATACAGGATCTTACAGGACACCTGCGAGGTGCGTGCTGCTGATACTCGAGGTCCGGTTCTCGCTATGTCAGACTGTAAAGTACTCATCTTCAAACTCCCAGCAGCAAGGCAAGGGTCCGTATCACACGTTCGAGGTGTGGTTTGCATCGTGCCGAGACCTCCTAAGGCACGTGCAATGCAGAGAAACATCTTGACCATGGATTTTACCATCTCCTCTTGCTGTGGAATTTACTCCTCATTCACAACAGCAAAGTTCTTGCTGTAACTCCTTGGACAACTGGGAGAAACTGCTCATGGAGAACTTGCACTGGCTTCCAGAGCTATGGGGTTGTGTGTTTCTTTTAAGAACACATTCATTATAGATTTGAACATCGCTGCCATAAACAAGCACCTGCCTTGTCTTATTCCTTTAGCCTCAAAGGATTTGTCTTTCATATCTGCCAAGACATGGAATTATTCGGAACTGATCTTGCTTTACATAATATTTATAAAATGTTTTTGAAGTGAGATAATCTCGCCCTCCTCTCCCAGATGTGTTCGGATGAAGACAGTGAACCCTCTCCGTTCTCTGCAGCACGCGTGACTCACGCCCGGAGTGTGGTATGTATTTGTGTTTACACTGCCATGGAAACTCTCTTTGTTCTCTGTACAGTAAAGTGCATTACAGTGAAAGGGCCATTGACATTAGCACAGACACTGACTTCAGATTCACCCCCAAAAATCCAAGCACCCTGCGCATTCATTTCCCCTTTGGAAAAAAAAAAAAAAAGCTGGATGGCAAGTTACCAGTGAGTAGCAAGTTTCTGGGAGCAGCAGAACTTTCTTTGTTAATTTAGCAACTGGCAAAGTCTCGGATTTTTTTCCAGCAAGCCTGGTGCACGGAGTTGTTATAAATAATGGCGATGATGATGATGGGGTCTTACACCCATCTAAGGCTACATTTCAGCGCCCTCCTTCACTGCAGATGCACCCACAGATGCAGCTGCCGATGAAAGGAAAGCAGCCGTGGGGTATCGGCTCAGAGCAGCTGTCCCAGCCATACCAGTGAGAAGTGCCAGTAGTTCGCCCCTGCTGTTGTCCTCCAGACAAATAACCATCAGCCCATTTTAATCTTGGATATGCTTTTAGACCAAGGTTTGCTAAATTATTTTGCAGCTAGTATGACCAGGATCTAGGTCACCGAAACGCAGCCAGCCGAGATGTAATCCAATAGTTCTTTAACCCAGGACAGCCCAGTGAATGCACAAGGAGTTTCCCTACCCTGGTACTTACTCCTGGCATTCCAGTGCGAGCAGAGCTTGCAGAATGGCAGAGCTGGAATTTGGCTGGAGCAGAGTTAAAAGTTTTGC